ATTAATGATATTGGGGAAGGTGTTAATAGCCATGTTTCTGTGTTTGCTGATGAACCTAAAATTGGGAGGGTAATAGACACGGACTTAGACATTATATCCAGCACACTCTTCATGAGGGATGTACACAGGTGCACAATATATAAACTATATCCAGTTATACATTCATTATAAAAAATAATAATAATAATGATATCTTTATATCGGTCTTCCTGTAAACTCCTGCTTAGAAAATCTTGGACTGAGTGAGGAAGAGCCGGTTCTGTGAGTCAATCAGAACCCATTGGAAATTTCTGTCAGTTTAAAACTGGGAGACTGCTGAGAGGAGAGAGCAGAACAAGCAGAGTGATGACCTCATTGGTGTACTGATCCTCCTTCTTTGTGGACCGATTGGTAGGTGAGGGACCGAGCTCGGTTGTTTAACTGCAGGGTAAAAAAGTTGGGTCATCAACTTGGCTCTGTGGTCTGGCAAGAGATTAGCTGAAAAGAAATGCGTGAGGAGGCCATAGGGGTCGATCTATTCACAAACAGGTCCCTCATGACGGAGCAGTGACTGGGCTACACGAAGCAGCAGAGGCCAGGCACATCTGCCTTTCCTTGGCCAGAATGGTGGACCAATCCAGCACTAGCTTGCATAGGAGGTCATTGACTGAAGCCTGAGTCATCTTCCTCCTCCCAGGCACAGAGCAGACACAATCACCCAACATTACTGACGTGTCCTCTTCCTCCCCCTTCACTAATTCTGCCATACCCTTGCAAACCTCAGATTGAGCCTGTTTGCCTAAACTGGTTCCACAGGCCGGCTGTTCTCCTCCAAAACCTGATGGGCTGAAGCTCTAATTGTTACAGAAAAGAAACAGCCTGTGCCTTGTGTCTGCATCTGGGCCCTGCATTGCCTGCTGGTAAACTTTGCTGCCCCTAGCCAACTGTATACGCCTGTGCCTGAGAGATGCTTGTTGTCGCAACGCGTTTTAATGCGGAGCATTGCTTCTTCATCAGGCCCAACGCCATGCAGATCCATGGAACTACCTTGTCATCCTGTGGGCGGGGTCGTCACTCTTTACCAGAGAAACAGGTTTAGTTTTCTTTTGGAAAAAGGTTTAATTCAAATGAATAAAAGGTGACAATTGTAAGAACCCCCCTCCCCCCTTCCTCAGTGTTATATGGTGTGTCCCAAACCCTGTAATTGCCACTTTTGATGGACAGCATGGCCTGGAAGTGGGAAAATAATGGATATTCCGACATGGATCAACAGGTACTTCATACAAATCTTTTACTATCTGACTATTAGGACTGTATTGTATACTGTATATTATATTTTTTGCTTGCTCTTTGGTTTCTTCAGTTCTTCTGATGTATTGAAGATCACAAGTACATTTGATTATATTGACTTCAGAGTCTGAGCCGCAGCCAGGGCCGGATTTCCCACAACGCCAACCACGGCCCGGCCTCGGGCAGCAGGGAGTAGAGGGGCAGCAGGGGTGTGGAGTTCTTATCTCCCGACGACTGGGACATGCATTCCCGGGCGCCGGAAGGGTAGTTGTTTTCTACATTTAGCCCGGCTGTTTTGTACAAGTGATCACTTGTATGCAGCCTGCAGGTCTGCCATTCTTCATGGGGGG